GTTCTTATGTGATAACATCATATTATGTGAACTTCATTCAATTCTGAGCGCTACGAAAAATATAGTCCACATGAGAAAACATAAAATATCAAAGTACCTAATAGATCAGGTGAAGAACAGAAATATTCTCGTGTATTCATTTATCCTTCGGATAACAACAGTGAGAGAAACGTTAGAAGTAAAATTTGAAATGAATATATTGGCAAATAAAACATTAAATTTCGAGTGGTTTGCGGAACCAGAAAGAAAAAAAGTTGAGACTTAACAGTAAACAAATATTCACGCAAAAAAATGCTGCTTGAAGATGACCTTCTCAACACAATCTGAATCGACCACAATAAGTTCCACACAGGTAACTAACTGAATGACAAACCGAACCTCATTAGTGGTGCTGACGAGGAACGTGAACAATGCGTAATGCGGCGATTTCGAGCCGGTCTACGCACCGAGCGGAATATAATCGATGAGCTGGGACTAGAGGAAGAGGAGGGCCGGAACGATGCTCTTAGTGAGCTCGAGCCACTGTTGGCTCGATATTGTGCGGAGAGACGATGCACGAAACGTTTCTGCGGTGCTGCTGCACCTCGTTGTAGCATTTTGTGTTGTCGTCAACAGTTCAACGATTGCACGATAAAATATCGATTCAGACAAATACCAAATATCGCATTAGACTTCCAATAAGAATACTCTCCAATTGTCAGTAAAATAGCGAGATAGATAGCAACCGAATAAACGATCAAAAAGTGTTTTTGTCAATCAAACGTTTCAACCGATCGGAACGAGTGAATACTCAGATACTCAGATCAGCTTTATGAATGAGAGATGCTCTGAAGGAAGTAGCGATAATGCAGTATCAGAATGATTCATTAACGATCACAATCAAATAACGCGAATATGCACAGCGCAAATCAGGATCCTAGCATTGATAAGACAACACCACAGACACAATTACTCACCGGGACTAAGCAATCACAACGTAATCATGAACATTGACTGGAATCGAAATAATTTACTTCATTAAAATTCTGTTTCTCTGTTGTTTTCTCCTGATTTCTCTAGTGGCTGGCTGAGACAAACACAAAAACAATCAGCGAGAGGTATAACTGTCAGAGTAACCAGTTATTAGAAGTTAATTTTATTAACTGTCTAACTAATTGATCATGAGTGAAGTGGTGATAAAATTGTTGGTTAGTGTTCGTCGAAGAAATCAAAGAAATTTCGTGAACGATGAATAAAAAGGCCTCCTGCTGGAACTGTTACATGTGATGAAACGGAATGCATGTGAACTCACTTCCGAAAAACGAGAGATAATGATGATAAACTAATGATAATGACAAACTAATGATGATGGTAATATGAGAACGTTCATGATCACATCAAATCATGATCGTTAGAGGTTAGATCGATCAAAAATACAACGAACATTCTTGGAGGAGAAGGGAAAAAACAGAAGGCATGCAAACAGAATGCCACCGGGTGGTCCTATGTCTAAACGAGTTTTTTGCTCGAGGGAGTGGGCAAGTGACGACGTGTTTTTATCAATGAAATATTTACTCGTCAATGTCTTACGTCTTATTATTAT